CTAAGTCTGTTAAGGCTGTTATACAAGCCTTCTTGTATAAAAGTGTGGTGTACTTCTTTGATGAACATCAAGTTTGATTATTTTCTTTAACATTCTGATGAGTTCTAGTATGAACTACAACACTCTCTGTTTTGTTTGATAATGGTAATCTCGATGATACCCAGTCGTATGTTTCTGGGATGTTCTATGTTTCATCTATTTTTGAAGACGATTTTAGTAATTCGATGTACTATAGTGGACAAGGTAATGCTAGAATTTTAATGTTAAAAACAGTGGCTTTGAAAAACCTTACGAGGAAAATGTTGTTCAAGCATGGAGTTCTAGGTATTTTCAAGGGGAACTCACGGTTGTGTTGGCTCAATCAAATTGAGACTGCTAAGTTTGGCTGAAGTTAAACCTCAAAAGACTCAAATCAAATCCAACTAATTTCCATAATGATATTTTTATCATGCCATATAATGCATTCAATAGTTTTGTGAGAAAATGATGCTATTAGCATCAAATCATCATTGAACTTTGAATGGAAATAAAATGATGGCATTTATCACTACATCAGTACACTGTAGCACAGCCTTTTAATTTTGTTCCTATTTCATTCAAACAAGCTTTGGCAATCGAAAGAGAGAAATTAAGGGAACACTGTACATGAAATGATTCACAAAGCTAGAAATTATAATCTCAGAAGTACTCCTTTAAGCCCCAAAATTGAACACTTTGGGCTTTTCTTTGAGATGTCACCCTGAAAAGGTAAGATCCCATTTGAGCCCAAAAGTATAAACAAAATAACAACAATTTGACAACAGAAGTTTACAACAGACAAAAACACAGCAACATGAGGATTTCAAGTTGCTCAGAAAGATGATGTTATGGTGAAATAAATTTCAAATACATTTAATCCTCTATCAACTACATTAGGATCCAAGTCCTCAACAATGCACTCAATTTCAATATTATCATTATTAGTTTCATATATACTATAACAATTAATCTATGGTCAATTAAAGATAATATTTATGGGGAAAAAGTGTATTAAGTGCACTTATTTATCTTGAATTCAGTAAAAATCAATGTATTACAAGTAAAAAGTTTCCTACATTGATAATAAATACTACTTAGCTTATAGATAAGATCATCTCCACTCTATTTTCCCCATCTAAACTTAACTCTCTTGTTCAATTCTCGAACTCTTGTTTTTCTTTCTACTTCATTACAATCAATGAGTGACAAGATCTATCTACTTAAAGGGAAAAAACAATAAACAGAGAGGAAAACAGCTGATTCACAGGTAATATGATTCGATATCAAGCATCTCCTACTACCTCTAGCTGGAAAGCCCAAACTATTTGAATTCTGCTCCCTCTCTCCGGCTAACATTACTCTCTTTGCAACCAAACTATTTTCCTTGGTTTCAAAGTCTTCCTTTCTTCAATCAATCCATATTATTTTTTTTTTGTCATTTTTTAGTCATTCAGTTTTTTCTAAATTTTTTAACTCCAAAATGGGAAGCGAAACCCTAACGACGACAAAGAAAGCCCTTCGTCAATGACAGATTCATATCCTCGCTTTACAATTAGACCCTCCACAGCAAGGGTTAACAGCAGCATGTGTAGGAACTAGGAACAGTAACAGCAATAACTACGTACGTTTTGCTGGTAAGCTGTTGTTTTTCGCTTTTTTTCTCATTGCAATCCCATCGTTCCCTTCCCAAGCTCCAGATTTCGTCAAACGAAACAATACTCAACAAGTTTTGGGAGCTTCTTCACCTTCTTTTCATTGGCATTGCTGTTTCTTATGGTTTGTTTTGTCGTAGAAATGTTGATAATGGTAACCTCGATGGTACCCAGTCGTATGATTCTGGGATGTTCCATGTTTCATCTATTTTTGAAACGTTTTTAGTAATTCGATGTACTATAGTGGACAGGGTATAGTGGACAGGATAATGCTGGGAGTTTTAATGTTAAAAACGGTGGCTTTGAAAACCCTTATGAGGAAAATGTTGTTCAAGCATGAGTTCTAAGTATTTTCAAGGAGAATCCACGGTTGTGTTGGCTCAACCAAATTGTGGTCTTGAAAAGTATGGTGAATCAAGTTCTTTTGTAGATTATAAACCTTTAGGGTTGCCTGTTAGGAGTTTAAGATCCAGGGTTGCAAGGCGGGCTATTCCTGAATTTGACTATGGATCAAACGAACCTTCTGGTTCACATATGAAGGATTCGCCCGAAGGTTCTAATAACAGTAGAGATTGGGGATTTGGTGGTTTTGCTTCTGGAAATTTGGAGGGGAAGTTACTCGGCCTTCGAGATCTGGAAGGAGGGGTGAGAGAGTTCATAGTAATGTCACATATCAAGGATCTGAAAATGGCTCCAGTGAATCTTCTGGTTCTCAAATGAATGATTCGTCGGATAATTCTAATAAGAGTAGAGGTAAGGGGTTTTGTTATTTGGGTTCTGAAAATTTGGAGATGTCTAATGAGAGTGATGTTTTAGGTTCCTCAAATTCTCAGCGTTCGAGATCTGGAAGAACGAGAGTGAGAGTTCATAGTAATGTCGCATATGAAGGATATAGCAATGGATAAAGTGAATATTCAGGTTCACAAATGAAGGATTTTGTCAGATAGTTCTAATATTCAGCTGACCATTTTAAACCAAGCAGAAAGAAAATGTGAAAAGCCAAAACTGCAATCAATCTAACCTTGAACCCAAATTAACACAAATGTACACCAATAAAGTTACATTCTTCCTGGCATTGGAAAGGTAAAGTAGAAAAACAAATTATGTATGGAGATAAATTCATTCATCTGACCAAAACAAAGAGCAGCACAAGCCTATATGGCTATCACCAATGCAACAATCATATAAATAAAGGAAGCACCAACACGATAAAGAACTCCTGTAGCAAATCCACAGCATGCCAGTATGACAATCCATAAGACACCTTCACACCAGGTTGCCATGCATTTTGAAGAGTTACAACACATGCAGCAACAACGGAATAGCCAGCCTGATAAAAATCAAAGCATAAAATGAGATGCATGTACTTCACAATTATGTACACAAAACGCAGTTTCTCCTTCAAAACATCAACTTAATTTATGCAAAAGTACTTTCCTTCGACCCCACAACCATCCAACACAAGCACTTCAATATATTACTTCATGTTGACAGAAACCAACAAATGCACTGTATAGTTAAAACATTAGTAGAAAGAAATAAGTTCTGCAGATACACATCCACTTCCATCCAAAGCTGAAATAAACTACTCCAATAACCTACACATGATACTATGAAATATAGCATATGCTGAAGCAGGACACACCTAAATTTCTGAGGAATGGACAACTTAACGACCATATACAATTAAGCAAGTATTGGGCAAAAACTACTCAAAAAAGAAAAAGAAATGGACATACCAGTGAGCCAACTGAAAGAACGTGTGATAGGACATGCACATTAAATAGCCCTCCCAAAACAGCAGCAATAATGCCTACCCAGACTTGAGAATGAACAGGCGTGTGACGTTTCGGATGCCCTTTAGCAAATATTGAAGGCACTAAACCATCACTTCCAAGCCCAAGATATAATCGAGACTGCTCAGAGAAACACTCTATCAAGCATTTCATCATGTGCACTTAGAACATGTTACTCAAGAATGTCATCACATAACAAAAACATAGAAATTCCAAATCACTTCACCTGGACGTATAGACCAACTAGAAGGATTGTTGTAAGCCCGGCAACAGCTCCAATGCTGATTAAAATAGAAACATATTTCAAACCCTTGGATGTAAAAGCTTCAGCTTGTAGTCTCTACAAGGGCGTATAGTTGCATCCTCCCCAAATATACAAATTATGGAATTTACCCAAGGGGACGAGTTGTCTCCGCTCCAACAATAGAAATTCCTCTATTGTGTTTTAAAGAGCATCGAGATGCCTTTATCCTAGCAAGAGAAATCCTCTTTTGGTTTTATAAGCGAAGATGCCTTAGCCCAACCTGCAGTACTTCTCCGGGGGCGTGGAGATTCCTCCGCTCCTCCTGTAGTGCCATTGGGGTGAATTGTCTCCTCTACTGACCGAGAGCAATGAGACATCTCCGCTTCTCCCTAACCAAAGAGACTCTTCATTCTCTCTTTCTTATACCAACCAAAAGAGTTGATATACCTTTATTTTGTAGCTCACAAAATGTTGAGACACCTTTACCCTAAAAGTGAGATGCCTCTGTACATTATGCGACATTCCATCGGGATATAGAGTTGTCTTACACTCTCTAGTCTAGCTACTACAACTTAATGAATCCTCGTTTTTAAAATAATTATGATAAATTATTTGATATAATTAATAAAAAGTTAAACTTTAAAAAAAAAAATACATTTTAAACAATAAACTAGAAATAACAAATTGAAATTGAAAACTAAATATTGAAAAAATAATATAAAAACCTTGTATAAAATTTTTACCTTTTCAAATCGATATTCTTGGGCAACAAGTTAATATTTTATTAGAGGAATACGGATTCTGGTGCGGTAGCTCTGTCCTATATTATCCCAAAAGGTCGGATCACACTACGTTTTAATCTTAGAATCTTTGTTTTCAACGGCTATAAAATTATCTCAATCTCTGTTTTCACTGATTAAAAAACTAAACTAATTGTATAAATTAATGAAATTAAGTCAATCATATGAGAAAATCAAGCATTCTGTTTTGCATTTAAGTTAAATACCGATGATTAAAACCAACAACGACAAATATCAAAAATAAAAACCGCAATTCAAGTCTCCAAGGCTCAGTGAGTATATATATATATTCTCAGAATGTAGTGCCTGCTCATCTACTGCCATGTAGTGAGCTTAAACCATAACCATTGTTGTTTGCTTTCTTTTTCGAAAGAAAAAACCTTGAGAAACCAAATCAGCCAAAAGAGCAATCGTTACCGGAAAGGAAACGTTTTTCTGTTTCGTTGTGAGCTTTCTGTTTTCTTTTTCTTTGGGTCTTGGGTTTTGAGAAGATGTTTAAAGTGGGCGAGATAAGGGACATGAAGAGAAATAGTGAGCTTGAAACTTTATCGAGTGAGAGCCCTCAAACTCCTCCATTTCTCAATCGTCAACACTATTCACCAATGACTCGAGTTTCTCCTCCTCCTTCACGCTCCTTCTCTATTGGGTTTCCTTCACCTGAAAAAAGTTCACCATTTGAAGACCGACGACAACAACGACCCAATTTTCATCATTATGGATTACCTGATTTTCATTTCGGAAATAATAATGCAAATGAAAATAAAAGGGTCCATGATGGTTTTGATTTGTGTGAGAATCTATACCAAATGCATATTGGAGATGAAGAAATAAATGGAGTTGATTCTGCTGAAAGGAGGGGATCCGAGAGCGATCCATATGGTTTGGGCCTTTGTGTCGATGCTGTTTCTTCTTATAATGCTGGAAAGTATAGTTCATATGAAGGGTTTAACAAAGGGTTTCAATCTTATCCACAACAAGTTTCTACGTGTTTTGATGGTAATGATGTCATGAGGTCTACATTGCTTGGTGGAAACGAAAAGGATGATTCATTGGGGTCTTATGGTATTGGTTACAATCAGTCCAATGATTTGTTTTCAAAACCGAGTTGGTACAATAACCGGAGAGACTATATTTCGGAGAAGAGAATGGAGCAGTGCAGGAGTTTTAACAATGGGGGAATTCTATTACAGAATGCCTTAAGTACAAGGCCCTACTGTGATAATCTTTTTGTCTACTCACAGCAATGCGGAATGGATGGTAATGGAGGTAGAGGTGTCACTGATTCTTTGAGTTCTCCTGGGTTCTTGCACAGTAAGATTCCTATTGTGGAGGATCATAGTGTCATCAAACAAGGAAGAGATTTGAAGTATGGTGTTGTTGACAACTTGGGCCATGATTCATTCAAGTGTCATAAGAAAAAATCTCTCAAAGGGATTGCAATGCAAAACCTTAAAGATAAAAGATCTAAACTTGATAGAAATCATGGAAAAAATGTAAGACTAATGCCAAGTCCATATTCCTTGGTTGAGTTTCGAGGATGTATTAATTATATGGCTAAGGACCAGAATGATTGTCGCTTCTTACAAAGGATATTTGATGAAGGAAGCTATTTAGATGTTCAAATAATATTCAATGAAATTATTCATAATATTGTTGAACTTATGATGGATCCCTTTGGCAACTACCTTGTGCAAAAGTTGCTGGATGTGTGCACTGAAGAACAAAGACTGCAGATTGTTCTCATGGTGACAAAAGAAGCAGGACAGCTAGTGAGGATTTCCTTAAACACACATGGGTAACTGCTTCATTATCATTTCATTCTCCATTCTCTTTTCATTTTAGTGATATTCTTTGTTTTTGTATTCTTTTTAAATACACATATATTTGTTGCTAAGCTAATATATTTCTATATCTCAGTACTCGTGTAGTACAGAGGTTGATTGAGACTCTCAAATCCAAACATCAGATTTCTCTTATCAAATATGCTCTTAAACCTGGAATTCTCGATCTTATCAAGGATCTCAATGGAAATCATGTCTTGCAGCGCTGCTTGCAATGCCTTGACAATGAAGATAATAAGGTAAAATGAGGAGGGTGATTTAACTTCCGAGGTTCAATATTAGTGTTCACAGATGATCCTAATCATGATCATTCTTCTGTTTTTACATATATATGATACTTAGAGCATAATATTGGCCATCAACTACAGTCCCATTTCATCATGTCAATCTACTACATGGTTCATTTCTAGTTAATTATTTGGGCTGATATATCTTGTTTTCATTGCATCTTTACATGGGTGGTCAAGTCTTCTAAATAAAGTTGTATGGTTACCTTGGAGGTCTTTATCCTATGGCCTATTACCTATGCTTGGTTGCATTATTGGGTTTTATGCAATACACATTGTTTGAGTGTGTTTCTCCTCTTGGTCAGTGCAGAGTACCTTTTGTGTGTGTATTATGAGAGATCGGTAAATAGTTTAACTCATGATTGGTAAGCCTGCCTTGTAAACAGGCAGAAATATTTCTTCCCGGTACTGTCTTAATTACAGTATTGGCATATTCCCGCTGCATGAGAACCGAATTCTTAGTCCATGGGAGAATCTCTTTTAGCTTGCAATTTTTCATGATAAGTCAGGGTAATGAACTAAAGACTAGAATTATGTCCAAATTGTCAGTTCTAGTCTTGATTGTCACACTCTGTGTCTGCTCATATGCTACCTATGCATAGAATTCTTCCGGAAGTATGCTTCTTATTCAAACTGTAGTTAGCAGGCATTGGTTCATTTCCTGTGTAGATGTTTCCGTCTCTACTTTGTTGCTGTGCATTTTCATATGCATGTACTTTTTGTCAAGTTTGATTCTGAACTTTTTTTCTCTTTGTTTCTGTTAATTACCAATGCCAGATTATTTTTGAGGCTGCTGTACAATTTTGTGTAGATATTGCTACTCATCGTCATGGATGCTGTGTGTTGCAACGCTGCATTGCTCATTCTACTAGGCAACATCGAGATAACCTAATTACTCAAGTTTCCAGAAATGGACTTCTTCTTGCTCAAGATCCTTTTGGGTAATAAGCTAAGGCTAAGTGATTCCTGTTTGTTTCTTTCATCCTAGTTTTCGGACAAATAAAATTCTCATTGTGGTTTTGATGACTAAGTTAGCTTATCAATTTGCTTCTATAATCTCAATGAGTAAACTCGGATCAGGCTTAAAGAAAGATCAATCCATTTATGCATTTATATAAATTTTTTCATGCTAATGAACTATATAAAAACTATAAACCCTTATCTAATGTAAAAGTTCATGTATATCGTCACAATTCGTTGGGATTTTCTATACCTACTGATCAAGTTTCTGAGAGTCGTAGATCTTTTTTAATGAACATAATTCATTAGCCATTTCTGTTCCTTGTAAGTGAGGTCAAATGATCATGAGATGTACTCACTTGATATTAAGAATAAATATAACAAATTAAGCTCTGATGTCTTGCAGATTTTTGTACATATTTGGCACCTAAAAGGGAGAAAAGCCATTCAACAAAATTAGCTACACAAGAAATAGATGCATCCTATGGAACATATATGACTTATTAATTAGCTAAAATCATGAATTACTAGAGGAGAATTATAGTAATTTTAACTTCATTTTTCTCAAGTCATTCCTTCCCCCCTACCCCCACAAAGGGAAAGACCCATTTTATCATTTGATTTTCAATTTTTTTAATTTATCTCTCCGCTATGCATTATTTGCTTGTTTCTGAAACATAAATGATCTCTGATTTGTACTATTTGCTTGTTTCTGAAACAGAAATTATGTTATTCAGTACATCATAGAGCTAAAGGTCCCCTCTGCCGCTGGCAACTTACTTTCTCAGTTCAAAGGGCACTATGTTCACCTCTCAATGCAGAAATTTAGCAGTCATGTGATTGAAAAATGCCTCAAGCATTTTGCAGAAAGCCGGTCGCAAATCATCCATGAGTTGATCTCTGTTGTACACTTTGAACAATTATTGCAAGACCCTTTTGCCAACTATGTCATTCAATCTGGTTTAGCTGTAACCAAGGTTTGATACTCGTCATTTTCATTCTTTGATAGTATTTGACCAAACTTCAATGAAATCTCTCTCTGAGTAGCTCCTTTCATCTCTTGTATAAGTCGTTTTAATATGAAGATTCATGATTTTCATCACAAAGCATTTTTTCTCAAGCAGGGCCCTCTTCATGCTTCTCTAGTTGGAGCTGTCCGACCTCACACAATCTTGCGAACCAGCCCATATTGCAAGAGAATATTCTCGCGAAACCTCCTGAAAAAGTGATGGAGTCACTTTGCCAGTATTTTAGTGCTTCCAAAGTTGCTAGCTGTTCACTACTAGTCATGTCCTTGGGTTGCAAGATACATAGAATGTACATGAATTCTGGTGCCTCCTGTTGTGGTGGAAGGCTTTACAGCTTCGTATCAGTTGAATCACCTTCAAGAATTCCAAGGATGTAGATGGAAATTTTGCTTCTAGTTGTTCAATATGTTGTTTTAACTTGTATTATTGTGTATCTTGTTATCTTTTGTTGATCCGAACTTGGGGAGTCTTATATTTTATCACGTTTGAGACTAATGTGACTTTCCTTTTAGATTTCATGTTTACTTCTTCTTAATATTATGGAGATAATGCTTGAATTGTGCTGGTCAAGTACTCTAATTCTTGGGGGGAAAGTTATGCTGCTGAAATCAAGAGTTAATTGACAATATCTTGCATCTAAATCACAAGCCTTTATTCCACGCAAGAGGTTATATTATTAACTGCAAAACATAGTCTTAGATAGCATAAAACATACTCGCAGTAGGACAGAGAAAAACATTATAAAAAACCATAGCCACGCTAGACCTTTCAAGCGTCGTCATGTCCTGCAAGTACCAGCAGCATTTTTTCATAGTCTCCACGAGTGTCCTTGACGATAGCACGAGTCAGTGGGACACTGTTCCTTCGCTGGTACTCATCCGCTATGATCTTTAAATCGAACTCAGCCCTAGTGGAAATAACCCTAGTAAGAGCTCCTTCATCTGTTCCTCGTTTATTAATTGCTTGACGAAGAATCTCCTCGAAATACTTTTCGGGGTAGACCAGGCACTTCACAGTGGACCTTACTAGTGCAAGGAACTCATCCTTAGGGTCAGCATCCAAGTCCTGCAGGTAGGAGAGTCGAAGACAAATGAAAACCTATCAGTATCAGGGGGATTCAATATACCATATGTAAATAATGATAACGGGCTCTGAAAGAACACCCACAATCCAACTTTGAATACCTCGATTATATCATTTCCGTATTCGTTTTTGTAGTGATTCAAGGTTGCATTGATCTGTGCCTTGCTTCTCGTACCCAAAACCTTGATGACAGCATCATCACTGTAAGCTTTGTTTGAAATTTTCTCATGGAGTAACTTGGCCTCGGTTTTTGCCAGACTCATGTTCACCTCGTCTCCCTCATATCTGTATGCACTCACAAGAGGTAGGAGAAGCTGAAAGGAATAAAGACGCATTCATAAGCAGTTCACAACAAAGAACAAACAATAGAAAACTTCATTGACTTACTACCATAATATACAAAATTTTCATTTGGTTTTTACAGATAACTTGAGCATCCATTTAACTTACCTTAAGGAAATCACCAGTTGTGTGATGAGCAACATCCTCTTCAAGCGATTTCTTATAACGAACATGATAAGCCTGCCTCGCATGAAGCAGTTGGTTGGCAGACCTTGTGCAGGCTATTTCCATAAGGACCTGATTGCTCGAAGTCCACCTTTTGGTCGCTTCATTAGCCAAGAGTGCGTCACGTTCAGCGGGATCAAGAGTCCAAAGCATAACCAGCCTCTGTTAGATAGAATCTCAGAAATCCACTCCCGTTATTCATCATTCCAGGCAATAAGATGCGCATATGTACAATATTGTGTACCAGTGAATAAGGCAAAATGCTTCTGCAAAACTGACCTCAAATTCACTTGTGAGTTCCTTGTCCAGTGCCTTGAGGAGATCTTCTCCATAGGTCTCAGCATAAGTTTTTCGGATCAAGTTCCGTTGCTCGGCGTTTCTGTGACCCAATATATTTATGATTAAGTCCTCGTTAGTTCCCCATCCTGCAATCAAACATCAATCCAAGGTTTACATCAATGATCACCTTTTCAGTATTTCAACGCAATCCACATAGATCTTGGCAGACATCGCAAGATCACCCCTAAAAGAGGATCTCTTTTGGTGTAAAGTGAAAACCATTTTCGATTTCAGAACAAACTCAGAAAAAGGATCAATCATTGTATATCGAATTGAGAAGATCAAAGTATAAATAGTTAGATTAACATACGTTAAAAAAATGGGAGTTATAAGAAACTGAAAAAGGGGAGACCTGAAAAGCCTTTTCTTAGTTGCTCACAGTCTTCAGACACTGATGGAACTACCGAGGGAACTGTAAGAGTCGCCATTGTTTGTTTTCTTCCTCTTCTTGTTGAATCTGTACAGAATCCAAAACGAGAAGATGGTAGCAATTTAAGGACAGCGTACACTAGCGGTACATAAGTAAGGCGTGTCTGTCGGGATTTGCCGCGTCTCAAGGAAATTCCACTTTTGCCACGTGAACATTCTCGACGAAACTGTACATCTATCACCGTCAGTGTCAAATCTGATAAATAATTAGGATCCACGTGGATCGCAATGACAACGCTGGTTGATATTTTAGGGGCTAAGATTAAGAAGATGTGGCTGGTAATCACTCTGTTTCTGTTTCTTCAAAAGGAATGATTACATAGGAAAAACTGTTGATAATTTTTTAGAATACAATGTTAAGAAAAGTCTAGAATTCAAAGCCGAACACCTGTAAAGTTTACTAAGATGAGTTGTGGAGTCGATGCACAGTTGGTTCAACAATAAAAATAAATAAATGATGTTACCGACGCAAAGCTGTCTAAAGGAAACATATGTAATAACTACTCTGCATGTAGGACAAGACACACAGCACACCTTTTTATAACATTTATCCTTTTGATACCTTGAAGCTTCATTTCTTTTCGGTTTTCCTTACAGTTTAGCAACAAAAACCATAAAGCTTCATAACGTTGTATCGCGTATAAAGCATGGATCTCACTTGTAAAGGCTTTTGGGTTGGTCATTCCATCTTCCGGTGATGTGTGGAGTTTCTTAATAAGCAAGCACTTATCCAGTTCGAAGATCAGCTTTCTATACACATCCAAATTCTCCTACCCCAACACAATGTTTTGATTTAATTCCTTCTGTTGCTTTACTGATGTGCTTAATTTTCTATCGTAGAACCATATTATGAAGGTAATGATCAACAATAAAATACACACCAACGTGAAAAAAAGAAACCTTTGAGAAAAAAGAATTTTCATTATTGTCGAAAATAAAAGAATACAAGAAAAATCCTCTAATCTTTTGTTTTTTTAGAGACATGTGAAAACATGTTCAATTTCAATCAATCCACAAAACATAATTGTTTGAGAACTAATCTTTTATTTATATTATATAAATTGTAGAATATTGGTGATAAATGAAAACCTGAAAACCAGTAGAATTTCCACTCAAATCTTTGTTATTATGAAATGGAGCCTCACTAAATGGTTTTAGTATTAGGAAGTCGGCCTGCAAAGTGATTGTAGGATATATGAACAGACGTAAAATTAAACATGTTGTCAAAAGTAGATGCAATAGACCAAAAAATCTGTTATGGGGAATGTTTAATGTCTCATAGCATTGCAGTTGTGCGAGCTGAGACGGTGGCTGCCCTATCAAAATGTGATGACCGAGATCCAGAATTTGTAGGAATTGTAATTCACCAATCTCAGAGGGAAGGGACGTCTTCATAGTTAAGTTAAGTCAAGTAAATTCTAGGCGTTATGTCCTAGTTGACTGGGAACTGAACTACCCATTGTTGTGGAATTCGTGTTAATTTTCATTAATAATAATAAATTCACCTTGAAAACTATTATCTAGGTGACTAGTGTGAAAATGATTGTACTAAAAATCACCCCAAGGTAGATTCCCAGGAAAGAGTGGAGGGGTCACAATGGTCCCTCTTAAAACTCACTCTCAGAACTACCAAGACAAATAATTTTTATAGACAATAATTAACAACAATTATACCCGACAATAGCTATTAAATAGACATAAAAGAGAACACCAAAATTTAACGAGGTTAGGCCAAAATTATGCCTGCGTCCTCGAACACTACTAAAATAATATTTCACTAATATAGGAAATATTACAAAAGAGAGAAAGTGTACAAATAGCATTTAATATAGAAGAAGGCTTATATTTGTGGGATGCTAAACTAAGAGGAAGATGGCTTTATTTATAACAAAAGAATTTCCCCTCCTTCTTATACAAAACCAATGCGGGATTCAAAATTTGCCAAAAAACCAACAAATCTCCACCTTGACAAATTCCACACACATCTCTAAAAAAATCCAATCTTCAGTAGTGTCTGCAAATTCATCTTTCAATTTGTAACAATATTAATCAAGTCTAAACAATGTTTAAACTTGACCGCAGTTACCACTTTTGTCAACATATCAGCAGTATTCTCAGTGGTCTGAATCTTCTGGATTATAACTCCACATTCTTCTAGAATTTTTCGTACAAAGTGATATCGAACATCGATGTGCTTCGTCCTTGCATGGTAAACCTGGTTCTTTGCTAAATGAATAGCACTCTGACTGTCACAGTGCACTTTGATGTGCTTCTGTTCTATTTCCAATTCACCAATCAACCCTTGAAGCCAAATTGCCTCCTTCACAGCCTCTGTAACTGCCATATATTATGTCTATGTAGTAGACAAAGCCACTGTTGACTGTAAGGTGGACTTTCAACTGACTGGTGCTTTTGCAAATGTAAACACATAACCAGTAGTTGATCGACGCTTGTCCAAATCACCTGCATAGTCTTAATCACAATACCCAACTACACACTGACCATCTTGATTGTCTTGCTGAAAGACCAAACCAACATCTACGGTGTTCAGAATATACCGCATAATCCATTTCACAGCTTGCCAATGCTCTTTTCCAGGATCATGTATATACTTGCTCACAACCCCAACTGTCTGTGAAATATCAGGTATCGTACACACCATTGCATACATCAAGCTACCAAAAACACTTATATACGGAACATTTGACATGTATTCCCGTTCTGCATCATCTGTAGGTGACATAGATGCACCGAGCTTGAAATGAGGAGCAAGATGTGTACTAACTGGTTTTGACTTCTCATTCATGCCAAAACGTTTTAGTATCTTCCTCAGATATTCTTTCTGAGATAAACAAAGCCTCCCTAATTTCTTATCCCTTGATATCTCCATGCCTAGAATCTTCTTCGCTTCACTAAGATCCTTCATCTCAAACTCTCTGTTCAATTGAGTCTTTAGTTCGTAATTTCTGTCTGACTCCTGGAAGCTATCAGCATATCATCAATATAAAGAAGAAGATATATATAGGATTCGTCTTGTAGCTTGCGTAAATACACACAATGATCATTTTTGCTTCTTGTG